TATTAAAGCAGAAAATGTATGTGGATCGATGCCCATTGTTTTATTATTGCGCGTTAAACAAACAGTCAAGACATGCAAATCTATAATTGATTTTGAAGTGACGACCAGTGGTCTACAAGTTGACGACGGGTCCGATGTTTTTTTAAGGATAATGGTCAAGTTCTCATTTGCATTAGTGGCCAGGGGTCGAAAGTTTGCACAAACACGAAAGCATACAGACATTTATACATACAGGATGTTTTTATATTTATGAGAAATTCCTTTTTGGTGTTCCCAAATATAGAGTGATTTATAAATGCCGCCGAAATAACACGATAAACTTTTCACCATTTTGTTAATAAAATCTTCTCGATTTTTGAAATTATTATCTTGAATATCGCCTTAAGACCATCATTATAATATTCCACTTTTTATAAAGTTAATTTCTTTGGGATTCATTTTATGGTCTTATTTTTAAATTTATTGCTATAAATCTTGTTACTTTCGAAAAATGGACTTCATATTTAGCACATATATGCAGCTTTACCCCGTGACGGAACTAATGAAAATGGGGGGGGGGGGGGCTGGGGGGTCGAGAAGTATTCTAAAAAAATAAAAAAACGCGTGTGCAAAGGTCTACTAAAAACATAATTTTTCGAAAACCGTTTACGAGACCAAAAAAATTCTTAAACCAGAAGACGCTTCATAAACTTTTATTCTTGACGATTTTTCAAATACAGGGTGCGCTGCAAATTCAAAAAAACTCAAAAATTGGTCCCTCTATTATTGAAAATTGGTTGTAACTGAAAGACTATGATTCAGATGTCACTTTCTTTTACATTGCGATATAGCCTGCATAGACAGCTATAACTTTTGTGTATAAGGGTTTCACCTATTTTACGGGGTGTTTCCGATATTCCGTGCTAAATAAGAGATGTGTTAAGTGTCCTAAGTTTGCAGATATTAGCTTCAAATTTAGCAGAGAAGTAAAAGTCCCTGTCCATATTTAAACGGTAGAATTTGGGTGCAATTAAATATTAGCAATTATTTTTTAAATATATTAGAATTTTTTTTGTCATTTTAGCTTCTAGAAAAATATGTTTTCCTCCATAATCGTTTGGAAAAAATTCTTTAACCAGCAGACGCGGAAAATCCAGTGCAATAACATTTATTTCGGGCATTTTTTCCATTATATGAAGGGTTTTCAAATTATAGGCAAAAATCTAAAAGTCCTAGAAAATTGATCTTTTACAAAGTAAATTATTAATCGCAAATCAAAAATCGTCAAAAATATGGCTAATCGGTTCAAACAGTGTGATAGGCCGCATCAAGAGCTACAATTTTGGTATTTACGGTTTTCGTCTGTCACATACGCTGCTCGGGATATTTGAAAAAATCCATATTAAAATCGCTAGTGAAGACGCGATGACGTCATTGATTGTTACGGCGCACTGCATGGTTTTAGAAAAAACTGATTTTCTCAAAAACCATTCACTATTTTGTAAAAATTCTTGGACCAGGAAACGTGGAAGATCCAGGGCTATAACTTCCATTTGCGGAATTTTTTCAATTATGTACAGGGTGTGTAATTTATGGATAAAAAAATCTAAAAGACCCTGAAAATTGTCGTTTTCGTGGATAAATTATTAGCCGTAAATGAAAAACTATAAAACATGGGATAATTTGGTTTAAACAGTCTCGAATATTGATTGTGTCGAGAGAGAGAGAGGGCGAGAGTTTTAGGTTTCGTCTATCATACAGGGTGCGCGAGATACTTGGAATATTATAATTGGAAATGGTTATTACTTGCACAATTTTTTATATTTATCAAAGTTTGCAATCTTGTTTCCGTTATTCTTATCTGTATCTAATAGCAAGTCCTTTGAAACTGCATTTATATTTTCCAATACAATCTGGGTTATAAAAGTTGCACATATTTAAAAAATCCTATTACTGTTTTGGCCGTCAAATGTAAAGGGCAATAATTTTTCTTTTCATCATTTTATTATTTCTTCTATAATAAATTTATTTGGATATGCACGAAGCTTGTCGATTATTTTTTATGTCTTTCTTAGTAATCGTACAATTGAACTAATACATGCGAGCCGTAAAAAAGGTGAACTAAATTAATTAAAATTAAAGGACATTAAATGTCGATATTATGTATCCAAATTCTTCATAAGTACAAAGCTGTTGCAACCAGAAATAAGAAATCGAGACACCTATAAGGCCCGGGGGGGGGGGGGAAGGTTAATGTTAATCCGACATTAAAATTTTTCAAGTTAGAACAAAACCGAAAATTAAACCAAGACCCAGTGTTTTTTTCTAAAAATTATTCAGGTATCCTGTCTACAAGTAAACACAACGATTTGATTTTTCAACGCCTTTATTATATTTTTATTCGCAATGGAGATTCGGAATACCTACTGGGAAATTCGAAACAAAATAGAACATTATACAAAGACCGAAAGTGTTTTGTTTTCTAAAAATTATTTAAACATGTCTACAAGTAAACAAAACGATTGAATTTTTCAAACGTCCATAGCAAGAAAAAAAACGTTTTTTTTTAAGTAAGAGCAATGTGCCGAAAAAACGCAAGACGTCGCCACACATATCGCTGTGTTATACAACTGCAGTGCTGTTTCATTGATATGGCGAAGCAGAAGATTTTAGTGTTTTACATTAGTTTTTACGGAGTGAGTGATCTAATTTTTGTGAGTTTTCGATATCAGTCCCATAGTAATTTTATTTCTCAATTATATACGTAGGGTATTTGATAAAATCGTGGCAGTATGCACAAAAATATATTTTGTAAAAATAACATCTTATATATGCGTATTACGATGTGATTGCTTCTGACTTTTAATGCAATGTTGCCCACTTATTGGGAAAAAATAGAAAATAAAAAAAAACGTTTTTCTGTTATCTCCTATATCATTCTGCTACAATAGACCTTAATACAGTGATATCTATTGCCAAGAGCTAAGTAAAGCGCCTAGGTAATTATTTGATACAGGGAGTTCGCCAAAGTTTTGGCATGTTTTAACTAGTTTTTAAGTTTTAACTAGTTTTTCCTTAATGTTCATTTTTAATAATTATTTACAAAACTGCATTAACATCGTTATCTAATTTTACTTTGCCCCAATATTGCTCCACTCTGTATACGTCCAATAAGGGGTTTCGCCGGCCCTTATAATAACTTATATTCTGTGCCCAAAATCCAGCAATGACTGCATTAGCTGCGAAATCGTTAATAAACGAAATATGAAAACGTCAAAGTTGATTTAATATCGAAAACAATTCGGGTGATTTCCGAATTTTACGACGCGTGAAGAAGCCAGATGTCGTGCGATTTATCCTGTTTAGTTTCCATTATTATTGTTGGGGGTGAAGTGGTACATTGCGTAAAATGACCGTTGTCCATCTCCGCACAGGGCAGCGGCGTAAGAATCGTTAAATATTACCCAAATGTGTGTGAAACGTTAAATAAGGTCTCTGGGAGGGATCAACCTTCACCGAGTGATAGTTCTAATCACACAAAGAACGAAATATTTTCGTTTTCTGAGAATTAAACCATTTTTAAACGTTGGAGTTCGGTATATATCTCGCAGTGGGTTATTTGGTACGTGTATTCTACGCCGCTGGATAAGTATGGCCCTCGCACGGGCCATTGCCTGTTGGTCAGTGGAGAGCCCTTTAAAATTATTCTCATAATAAAGACATAAGCCTACAGATACACTTGTAGTCAGAATTGGGGCGGGGCACTTTAATACGGTTTGTCAATTGAATTGCAGAAACACCAACATCTATCATCTTTCTGGAACGCTCGCGTGGCGTTTTTATTTATTATCTGATGTTTTTATTTATTTAAAATTTCAGGAACTTTTACATTTAGTTGCCACACATTGTGGTTTTTTTACCATTCTAAAAAATGTCCGCTCGGATTATTTTTTTAAGATGCTTTGGAGATTTTCAAATTCTAAAACTAATAAATTAAAATTCTACTTACTATTTGGATTAGTTACTTAATTTTAATTAAATTTAAGGCTGGTTATTGATAGGTATCAATTTTTTGTTTTTGGTGGGTTTGCTATTATAAAATCATTAAAAATATGGCTAATCGGTTCAAACAGTGTCATAGGCCGCATCAAGAGCTACAATTTTTGTATTTGCGGTTTTCGTTTATCGCATACGCTGCTCGGGATATTTGAAAAAAATCCATATTAAAATGGCTATTTCGGGGGCTCAGTCATGAGCCCCATGTGATGAAACTAATAAATTAAAATTCTACTTAATATCTAGAATAGTTACTTAATTTTAATTAAATTTAATGCTGGTACATTTTTTTTGTCGATAGGTATCAATTTTTAGTTAATTGTGGGTTTAGCTATTAGGTTTTAATTTTGTGTTGCGTTGGATTTTATACGGTGTTAAATAAAAATAGGTCTTCTACAAATGCTCAAACCAGAAAGTTTGTCTACTAGCAAAAAATAAATATGTTTTAATGCTATTCCTCCTTTGTGACGGAAACGCTATAAATTTAACTGTCGCTCAAACATATAGAAACGCTTTAAACCCCTTTTCGGTTCATGGTAATCGATTACACACGGATTAAATATGTAATTAAAACACATTGTACGTCTAATAGACACGTTAATACATATGCAACTGTCAACCACAGATCAAGTACGAATACAAGTGACAAAAAAATGAAACCCCTTTCCGTGTGAGGTCATTTTAAAATTGATTGTTACTAGTGCGTGTTAAAAGGGTGAGAGGAAATTAATTGTTCCCCCTTTTTAAATTGTATTCCACTTTTTAAATGTCCGATTTGGCTCCGGACGAAATTTACCGTGAAATTGGCGGATTTTTGAGTTGGTTTTGAATTTTGGATAACTATTTTTTTTTATAGAAATAATTCTAAGGTATTTGACCATCGATTGGAATGAGCACATATCACTTGAAGTGAGAAATTCTTTTTGTTTTTTTTTTCATTTCTTAGACGGCAACAAGGTACTTACCAAAATATAGCAAACACGTAGGTAGAATAAAAAAAAATAAAATTCAGTTACAACAAAATTTCACTACTTCTAATGTTTACGTGCCAAGCTAAAAGTGTATTTTAACCTAACCTTACATTTCCTAAAATAAAAACATGACGCGACAAAAGCCGCAAATTGATGTCTGTATAGGGACCAAGCAAAACAGCGAAATTCTCTTTTGTCGTGTTTGGATATATTAGGTATATTAAAAGCTTCAAGAATGAGCAGTGTTAATTAGAAAATATTTCAATATTACGTTTCGATTCTTAAGTTATAATTCCACCTTTTAAGGCTCACGAGATTTAATAATAGTCATCAATACCAAAAATATTTAACAAACAGCTGGTGCTATCTCGTGGCGAATAGCTGTACACGATCTGACTTAATCCTTGAGTCCAAGGTGGGGAACTTGACTATTGACGTCAAAGTCTACGTGGGACGGTGGCCCTTTGACATTTAAATTTCTAACCCTATTGTTTTTGAATTTTATTTTTGTTTTTCTAATGGTTGCAAGCAGGAATTTTGTATATTTGAAAACTCAAAATGGCTTGGTTGCAAAATTTAGCTGGCCATGCTGAAAATTTACTTAATAAAATTGATCAGAATGCTGCAACTGTGTTAAGTGATGGTACAAATAAATTAATAACTGGTGATATAGAGTAGGTACTGCTCTTCCTTCTTGCGGTCCAAAATTATTGTCTTCAATTTTAGACAAGGACAAAACTTTAGTGAGATTCAAACGTTTTCGAGTATGAAACGATCCAAATCCAGCAATGTGTCTTTAAATAAGATAATGTCTAATTCACCAATCCAAGACATGTTTGCTAGTGAACACAGTGCAGAAAGGAAAGGCGAAGCTATTTTTACTGCGAATTCTGACAACGAGAAATCATATAATGGTGCTTTAATTATTAAGTTACATATTTGACAGTGTGACATGAGTTTGTTACAGGAAGTTTAGTGGATGAATATTTTCTTGACAAATCCCAAAAAAGTTCTACTTCATCTAGTTCTAGTTCAATACACAATAGCTTCAGTGTTAGTCAAGAACTTGATTTATTGCAATCAAAACTAACAAAACTAGAGATGGAGAACCAGGATATTAACAGACAATTACTCAATATGCAACATTTGTATTCTGAGATGAGAAATGAAAATTCAAACTTGCAGTTTCAGCTGGACCGTACTAATGAACAATTGACATTAGCTCAACAAGAAAAGGACCAATATGTTGCCAGGGCTCAAAGAATTTTACAAGAAAAAGAAAAGCTGATTGCTGTCAAAGATACTAATGATATAAAGGATGAAAATATTCTAACAACATACAATGATGAGTTAAAGTAATTTAGGTTTGAGTGTTTACTTTGTTCTTCATTTAAAGTTAGTTGTTCTTTAAGAAATGAATTGGAATTTCATCAACAAAAAGTTAAGGATTTAACTGAAAAAAATGCAAAATTGATAAATGATAATCAGTCACTTCAGATTCAACATCAAGTAATACAGAAAGGACTACAGCAATCCAATCAGCTATTGGAGGAAAGTCTCTCAAATGAGAAGAGGTATCGGTGTATTGCTGAAGAGGATTATGCACACAAGTTCAAGGTTTATTAATGAAACAAAAAATATCATAGCATTTTTTAAATTCCTTTTTTAAGGAACTTCACATGAGGAATCAAGAATTGCTTCAAACTCAGGAACTTCTCAGGATGAAAAATGAAGAAATAGTTCAGTTGAGAACAGCATTAAAGCAAATGGGTGAATCAACTACTAATGATGAGTTTGAGAATCGAATCAAATCTTTAACTCAAACTCTTATGATGAAACAAAATACGCTGGAGACTATAACTACTGAGAGAAATGCGCTCACTTTGCAACTTGAGAAACTTGAAGTATGTAAACTGGGTTTAGTGCATTAGTTGCATTGTACTTGTTCTAGGCTGAGTACAGGAAGACTCTTGCACAGATGAAAAGAGATCAAGTAAAAGTGATTGAAGTTCAAGATGTAAATGAAGAAAGAATCACTATTCCTCATTTTTTAAGAGTTTCACCTCATGATGCAGGGGTGACACGCAGGGTAAAAAGAGCTTACTCCACTCTTGACTCAATAAGTCTTAGAACAGGCATTTTTTTGAGACGTTATCCTATAGCAAGGATTTTTATGTTATCATATATGGTAAACTTGCAGCCTTTTCACATAAATATCAAATGTAAAATGTTTGTTTTAGGTTGTGTTACACGTTTGGGTGCTCATTGTGTTACTTTGGTATTTACCATCTAACTGATAAAATATGCCAAATAATTTAATTTGTCAATAAAAACCTATTTTAATAGTTTTGAAGAGTTATTTACAATTGAACTAGATTTTAGTTTGGACATTTCTTTTAAAATTACAGCAATGTTAAATCTAAGTTTATGAAACATAATTAAGTTCATTTCGATGGTGTAGCACCTTCCATCTTTCATTTTAATAATTAACATTATACTAGGCAGGATCTTGCTTCCCAAAGTACTAAAAATAAAATTTGATAAAGCAATTGCTAGCTATTAGCCTATTTTACTACCTATTGTGCAAACTGATATCAATTCGCCACTTGATTGTATCAACATTTTGAAAATGCTCATAGCTTGGCATAAAATATGTATCAACTAGTTCTTGACGATTGCTTACAAGCGGTAAATCTTCCAGGAATTTATTAGTAAATCCCACTTCAAGCAATTGCTGGATGAAGTCTTTGTCATTGCTGTTTACAAACACTTTCAGAATAGCAATGTATATGCTTAAAACCTCAGATATTTCGTGCTTTTCGATGTTCTTTTCCTTGGAAAATTTTTCGATTACCTTTGATAAATCTTGAGGCTGTGGTTGCAAACATGCCAAAGCCACTAAAAACAATAAAATGATTGATGGGTAAAATTGATGTAGCTTTATTACTTTTAATCATTCGGCTTGTGTGATCCTTTGGAAAATTATTCACGAGAGTTATTGTCGACTTCGGTATTTCATTTAAATACATATTTGATCTATTTAGCAGAAACTTTTATACAATGTCCTTCGTAGAAATTTTTAGGGTTATGTTAATGTTATGTATCATGTCAGATCTATCAACTGATAAATTACACAAGTGTAGCGATTGCAACATTGCAATGTTAAACCAGCAGACATTATGACTACTCCAACATAGATGGCGCTCAGAAATTCGATTTGTAAGGACAGGAATTGAGATGTAAAAACATACATCATACAACAATAACTTTTACCATCGAAAAATAGATGGCGCCCGGCAACTCACTTGATTCCCTTAGTAAAAAAGGTATGAACTAATTTAAAGAACTTTTTTGGATTTACCTTCATTTTTAAAAATTAGTTTCACAATATTGAATGTGAACGTCTCCTGTTCTGTTTTTAATAAACATTTTTTGTAATATATGCACACATTGAATGATTTTTGCTGGACGTTGGAGCACTAATTATATATCTGTGATGCTTTAGGTGTACAGGAATCACGTCGTCATCAAAAGACGATTATAAACTTTTCAAAAATTTTCTGGAAAACTAATTTCGAACCATAGAAACAAATATTCTGGCGAATTCGCCAATATCGTAAAAAAATTACTTGCATCATTGCACCTCTTAAAATTAAACGAAAGATATTGTCTTTGAATTTATGTTTTCATTCTTATGTAATGTTTTTCGTTTCATAAGTTAACTCTTCGCCCATGTACTCCTTCAAATATTTTTTAAGTGAATATGTAGATAATTTGAGGTTTGCTGGGTAATATTGAATGAATTAAATAGTAACCTTGATTAACAAACATAAGTGTTTGTTAATCAAGGTTATTGTTTAATTTTTATATATTTATTTTGATATAATGTAATTTATTTGAGCAGCGGGTACATTAAACTACAAGTATTTTGTCTAATCAGTTTATTTAGAAATATTTATTTAAATGATTACAATAATTTTGTAACTTATTTTTAGTAAAAAATAATTTTAGGTTGAAAAATAACAATCTTAATACTAAACGTCATGGTTTTTAAACAGTTGTAATGAAGATGCTGCCCGAGTTATACTGAGCCGTGTTTGAAAATTAAAGAAAAATATAATAATTCGCTACTCATATTTTGTGGTATTTTAAAATGGTATTTACATTTTCACAATGCCGATAAGATACACTTATAGTTTCACAACCACTTAGTTTGGGATGATCACTAACGGGTTGGCTGTTCAATTAATTGTTTACTATAATTGGACGGAAAACGATTTTGACCCCAAAATCTTCGACTAGCAATGAAAAATATCGATTTTGTCAGCATATACTATTTCCATGCAGAAAGGCACTGAATGCACATAGTATATAAGATTTTGCATTCTTTTGAGATAAGTAGTTTTAATATACTAAGATGCTACGACCCTGTGTATATATTATTTTTAATGATTGATTTAAGTACAAATATGTACTACTGCTTGGCGTTATCAAAATATTAACTTGCGTTATTTATTGAAGACGTGAAAATGTAAAAAATAAATAAATTTTGTAATCTATTACGATCAACGCAGCAGCTTAAATGGTATATTTGTAATATACATGTAATAAGTCGATAACTATTTAAACCAAATTGATATTCTGATTATTATATTATAAATATTTAAGTACTATATTATAATGTTACATAGGGGACTAGAACTATACATTATTTAAAGAATCCCTAATCAGTTTTTAAATAATTTTACAGAACTATTGCACTTTCTTTTGCAGCATTAACAAACAAACGGTCCGCAAAAGATTAGCAATGAAGTCTATGAATATATTAAGGTTCTATTACTTATTGAGCATTAAAAAAATTATTACTTTTGGTAACTAATTATTGGAATTTATTCACTAATATTTAAATAAACTATACGAAACTTCCTAAACTAATCGTTTTTTTGCAGATCTTTCGATTTAAGTGTCGCCTGAATTGATCCGATTTTTTGAATTTCGTAATCTATCAGTACTTTTAAATCAAACTAACCAAATTAAATAATTTTTACTAAAATGTTCTGCTCAATCACTGCCATCGTTGACTTGTACCGCTACAAAACCACTGCTCTCACTGCAGTCTAGCTTCCTGTAGGGTAGTCGCTTGTGCCGCCGCCGTTTGATACGGAATACCCGGGAAAGCACCCGCGGTTGCTCCCGCTGGTATACCGGGTGTCTGCGGCAAAGCCGCGTAGGTATATGGCATATAGTTGGCAGCACCTGCGAAAAAAAAGCTTTATAGTAATAAGGAAATCAAACATCCGCGAAAATGATTATTTCAATCTACCTTTCTTGAGGGAATTTCGAAAATTCATTTTATTTGGCGCATTGCCTTTAGGGTTGGTAGATTAGTACGATAACCACGCCCTAATGACCAAAAGTCTTTATGAAATCGACAAAATATTATATTCTATGTAATAGTATTAAAGCAGCACTAGATCCGTTGTTGATTTAATGTTTCTTGACATTTCCAAATTGCGATGGCACAGAGGGCATCAGTTAAGAACTGGTATTAATGAATTAAAATGGAATACTCGTTTATCTCCTTTTTATATCCACTACTTTAATAATCCAAAAAGGTTATTTCACTTATAAAAGCTTTTTTGGGGATTATTGAACAATTTCCCTGCCAAACGACACGCATATATCGTGTTGTATTTTGATAAACAGTTGGTCGGTAAAAAACAATAAAATCAATACGGAAATTGAATTATTGCTATATTTTACTAGCAGCGAAACGTTATTACTGTAAGATTCATTAGCGTGTTTAAATCGATATATCCTTTTATGATGTGGATAAATTTAGTACATTTTTTTTGTATCAGTGCAATCGGGCGAAAAAAACTCGTACCCGCAGCTCCAGTGTAAGGTGTATATGCATCGAAGCCGTTGGCGTATTGGCCAGTGTATGGAGCAGCTGCGGCTGCAGCTACGGCGGCTGCGTTCTGGTACTCGTAGAATTGTGTAGTTGCAGCAGCTGCCACGGCAGCCGCGTGTGACAGCTGCGTTGTCGGCAATGGTACCAAGCTTCCTGGAGCGGTAGCTGCCAAATAGGGCGACTGGTACATGTAGCCGGGAGGTACTCTGAAAGAGGAATCCATTTGACGCATCCGATCGACCAATGAACCAAGTAAGGCACAGCAAGCAACACCATAGAAATACCAAAGAAAACTAATATCTAGTATCAGAAAACTTTTGGTATTTCGATTCATTGCGAACCAAGACACACCAAAAACTTTCTTTTATTTTGAACAACACCATCTCCATGAATTCCTAAGAAAATACGGTGATTAAACTCTTAATATGACCACAGTGGCTGAGGCAAACGTTCATCCAAGCAGCAACGGGCTGTAGCATTTGCACATTTTTGTATTCCGTAGTTTTTTCGAGCACGTGGGTTTCTATTTCGTCTTATTTCGTTGAGTAGGTTAAACCACGAAGGAAATAATTTCCTTGCGGTCCGTAGCTTTCGCAGCTCAACGCGAGTAATAAAAAATATACGGAATAAAAAGGTCGGCGGTTGTAGGGGGCTGGCGGGTAAGCAGAACCCTCCCATATTGCCTCGTTTGTTCGTTTAGTGGAATTAGTGTGAATTATTGATGGTTGTTTTTATATGCGGATAAGCGCCTCGTCATTTTGAAGTTTTGTTGACAGAACTACGCGTAATTCGAACGAGGCGGCCATGTCGATAACAACGCTTCAGGGAAACGTTGCTAGTTTGCCAAGGAGTTTCAAAAATATTGACTGTTTTTCGACATTTTGCAATAAAGACCTCAAGGAGAACCGGCAGTCCCTGCAAAGCCAAGATATTGATCACATTCTAAAGGCACATTAACGTCATTGCCGCACTAAATTTACGACTTCTTATTCTTTAAAATCACACACGTAGTTAACTGAAGTGCTAATTTATTTAATTAGGATTTAGCGTTTTGCTTACTCATGAACTTTGCGATACCCACACTTCTAACGTTTCTTTGATATAATCTTATTGTTAGCCTTATTGTTTATTAGGTATGTTCTCACAACCAATCCCGAACACGTTCATGACTGTACATCGTATGCCAAATAAAAAGATCCACTATAAATGCTTCGTACGAAAGTTTCTTGGACTCTCCTGAAGATTTAAAAAATTATAATTTTGTCCCAAAGGTGTCCCCCTGACGTCAACTTTGTTATTTTAAATGAAACGCCCTGTGTATTTCGCCATTATTGGAATCTTTGGTTAAAAATAAAGGTCACTTTCTTAAGAAATTCCTATACGAATTTTGCATAGTTTAGGCAGAAATTGATTTTATGTGTTTTTTTCATATTTTCATTGCCCCATATAAAATTGTGTTGTGACGCTACTGATCTAGGTATTGCAACGAAAATTTAACCAAAGGAGACGATGCACTACTCAATCAGATGACAGATGAATTTTGGCGAATTCAGGACAAAAAAAGGTAAGTTTATAATTTATTTTATATTCAAAATTTTACTTACTTTTTACTTTTTTTTTTCTTAGCCAATTCCTATCCGAATTTTGAATAATTTAGGCAGAAATGGAAGCTATGTGTTCTTTTTCATATTTGTTGGTAATATTAGGTATTTTTTAAATAGTAAAGACATGATACTACTTCTTTTAAAGATATAATACTCCAAATATACGAAAAAAACCTATTGCTAAAAATACAGGGTGTCCATTAATACGTAGATATTTTGAAAAAAATCGACTCTATACTACACACTTTTAACAGATTTAATATAACTTTAGAATTCATTTTAAAGAAATATTTAATACTGAATTATCTAGATTGATTGAAAATACCTAATAACAAATTTATACGCTAACTAAACAAGGTTACAAATTTGCATAAATAAATCTAGAAAACAAAAAGTTAACTAAAAGGAGTTCGTTAATTCTGACCATAAAGTTTAGTTAAAAATGTAAAATAACAAAGTTTATATCGGTGAGGGGGGGACACTTTTGGGACACCCTGTATCAACTAAATTATAATATTTGAAATATTCAGGAGAGTCCAAGAAACTTTTGTACGACACTTTTTTTCGAACGCAGTTTATCAATTCGCACGATTATTTCTCTGAAACTTGTTTCTTGCAGATGTGGGAACAAACCTAGTATGGGAATAAACCTAATTTGAAGATAACAAAAAGGATGGATCAGTTTTTAAGAGCTTCAGTTAAACAAACAAACGTTATAAATTGAACCAATAAATTAGAAATCTCCATATGGTTCGGAATTGCGGTGTTTTGAAAATTTTTGGGATATTTTCAAACCATTTCAGTAGTTTTTAATTTTCTGTCTTCTTGATGATGTCACTGTCCTATTTAGTTCTGAAATACTGTTTTAAAGGTACATAATGGCCAGGACAAATGCTTCAATGATCGTCTGATTACGTTATAAGCATTTTTAAAGCGTTTTATTTTGATTGTGGCTTACAAAACTTTCGTGAAGTGTTTTTAATTATTGGGTCATTTATGTTCCTGCTTTATTTTTCCTCGTTAATGCATTTTTATGCACGTTCATTGGGTAAAGTGACCATTACATATCCTCCCACTGTCACTTGCATGCCACACGTAAAAATTGATTTTTCCCGTACAGAAAGTTGTTTCGCGCTCCCGGCAAGCCGGAAATATTATAAAAGGAATGAAACTGGCGCATGAATTTTTCCCGGTCCGACACATCAAATGCGATATTATCGCTAATAGCGATCGTTATTAAACAACATATTTTTCTACTATGACGCGGTTTAGATGATTTGACTATATTATCTGAAATGTTTCATACAAGGTTACTTTTCCATTTTTTAAACAACCACGTGAGACGGTAGATTAAGCCAAATAATCTATTGTAGAGAAAAAATATGTTGAAATACAAATGCCCCTTTGATAATGACGGCGAACCTATGACCCATCCAAACTCTTTAACTGTCCCTCGATTGCTAGGCGACCATTTAGTTGTTTACGCGGGCATATAAAAAATTCTAGAGATAATTTATAATCTATTTGTGTTTTTTCAAGCACTGCATCGACACAAATTCAGTTTGATCGTGTCATTTTGTTTGTTGAAAAAAGAAAAAAACAAACCAAATCACCATATTTAAAGCACTCTCTTCAGATAAAATTCCACAAGCAATATTTCTCACTAATAATTGTTTACTGAGCACCTAGGCACAACAAAAAAATAAGTATAAATAGAACTTTTTGGAATTTAATCTGTCTTATTTCATTTGTTAAAAAAAGTTGTTAAACAAATAAAAATTGAAAACACTCAATAAATAAAGTCATTAATTATTATATACTATGCTTTATTTTTTCCTTCTTCGATGCAATTTTTTATTTTCTCTCTTTTATTCATTTATATCCTGACAATTTGGGGCAATCGCGGTACAACTTTGGCATTGACAATTTTTGTAGGATATTTTCAAATAATAATAAAAATAATATTTCCTAATATACACATATTGTATGTTATTTTCATTAGTTAGTCTGAAATCATCAAATCACACCACTGTTACTCTTTCAGTTAAACATGTTTAAGCTTAACTCTGGTGTAAATGGGTAATAATGACCCACGGACTACTAGTAGAAAACATATGAATAAAACTTGACCCTTATCTCGAAAAGGCTTATAATGAATCAAAATTAATTACGGTAGTTAAAGGGAAAAAATTTGCACTAAGATCACTGCTACGGAAAGGAAAGGAGCGCAATCGACATCTGGGAGGCTATATTAGCTGAGCTTGCCTGGGAACCTAGGACAACCTACTAGGGGTGAACAAAATATGCAGATGGGGTTGGAGTACACATTTTATTGTTCAGCAATTTTTGCATCCTATACTTCGTAATGCATTTCTCGATATCATTTAATTTCAGACGTTTCTCTTTGCTGCATCAGCTAGGTAAAGTGTAAAGTCCAAATAATATTGCGATCCATGCATGGTTAGAAATTGCTTTGCGCCGATATTATTTTTATCATTCGATACCAACGCGTCCATTATCGCAAATAATGTAAACAAATGGATACGTCGAATATGCATGGTATTCCAAATGACACATAATTTTTATTAGATAACGTTAAACCTGGATAGCAATATATAACTCGGTAAAATTATGTTACAAAATGAATATGCTAATAGAACGACACCTTAATTCGTTATTTCAGGCCGGATATTTTTTTAGCAATCTCACTAATATGTTAAAAGGTTATTGCTTCTTCGTATAAATTCAAAGTAAAATCTTTGATATCACCACCACCTAACGACCTGCAAACCGTGTTCTCCATGCAAATTAGTTTTTTGATTATATGGTAATAAATTAGCATTTACTTGGTGACTCACTTTTTCGTATTGAAAATATGGAATTGGCAAATATTATGTACGTACACATTGCCTACAATGGCGGTGCTAACAATGATGAACAAAGAGACAAGTAGACCATCAAAAATAAAATAAAATTAATAAAAATGCGGTGAAGGATATAACGCAAATTTTCATTCGTATTTTTACATTTAGGAATCTGGATATTGCTGAATGGTTGAGTGTTCTCTAAAACACAATAAAATGAAGCATTTAGCATATTAAAAAATGTAAAATTCGATCAAAATTCCCCAATTCTTCCTGTTTTTGTTAGTAGCTGTGCTCAAATAATATCGAGTAGTGGGCATTATTCGCTTTAATATTTGCGTAACTCCATAAAATCTAGACAAAAATAAATACGGAGGTATGACCAGTTTTATGAACTAGCGGAAAATCATTGACTATTTAAATTTATTGGAATATGTGGTACAAAACTTAGGGAGGTGGAATAAAATGAATTCACTTGTGATTTGGATATTTTTTGAAACAACTTTAGTAGAAATTGAACGAATCATACTCACACAGGGACTGGCACAGCTTGTGATCGGTTATGACAAATAATTTGCCAGACATTTGGGTATTTTGTAAAAATTTTGAAAAAATGTTATTAATAAAATAATAATAGTTACAAAATACCTAAACTCTCTATTAAAGATGCGATATGTTGAGACAGTTTAAGTTCGAATAGTCTAGTTTTTGATAAATATAGTAAAATAATAATAATAA